TTCCAAATGTTTTGTATTGCATGACAATGCATCTTTTCATTATTCAATAACCAGTCGGAGAACCGCTTGTGTTCCGAAAATAAGTATGTGTACTCAATCGTCCTGCATGTTCTTCAAATTTGTCTTCTTGTGATTTTTTTTCTTTCCCAAAAACTAAAGTTGCCTCTCAAAGGAAAGTTTTTTGACATTGAAGAGACAAAATTAATATGACATCTACTTTTAGAGGCATGTCAAAAACAGATCTCTACAAACCTTCTCTTCCATTACATGTTGTGCAGTCAGACAAAAAAGTTACATCAGCGTAAATTCTATAATCTATTTTTATTACACTCTGATTACTTTATTAACATACAGTGAATATATACTAAATCTTTTACTTTAGCTTAAGTAATTCGGAATTTTTGACGGAATTGTTGTCGGAACTAGGACTTAGAAGATAAGTCAAATTAAATATTTCGATAACCCAATAAATTCAAGTTCGAAATTTCAATATTTTATTTTCGGAGGGAGGGGAAATGTTTTCAGTTTTGGTCCATTATACTAAGTATATTTGCTTCGATTTTTTATTTTTCCATAAAAGCGAAAATTTTACGCATGGTATACATATAACGCATAGCTTCAAATTAAAATTTAATAATATACAGAGTGGTTATAATTAAAGTTCCACATTGAAACGGTCATAAAAGGAAAACTACTGGATCAAATGTTATCAAACTTGGAAATCGTGTAAAGGAGGTCATGGGAATTTATTTTCCGCGAAAAAAAGGAAGTTCGAAACCTCACCACCAGGGGGAAATGGCGCTGTATGCAATATTGTTAAACGAAATATGGGTCGGAATCTAACTTAACCTTTTGTTAAACGGGTTTAATATGTTGTATACCCTTAAAAAACTTTGAAGTAGGCAAATTACCATTTAAAGACGTTAAATTCGATAAATGTCGAGTGCGCCATCCCTGTAAGTGAGAATTTCGTCCGTGAAAACCACGAATTAGCGATTAGAAAATGTGAGATCGCAAATCACTCTCACAAGTGCGTACAATCTGGAAATCGTTTTCTTACAGATCGCTAATTTGTAATTTTTTAAGCCTGAATTCGGCACTAAAACATGAAGATACTGATTCAAAACGCTTTTAATCGATTTGGGCCAAAGAAATCTCTCATGTTATCTATCTAGTTCCATTGCATTCTCCTACTGCATTCGATTGCATAACAGTCATTTCCACACCGTTTACTGTTGAATGACAGCTAGTTTTATAACTGAACCATTTTTTTCTGAAGAGCAGTCGACAGCTGGACCACTGCGATTGCAGCTCACTTAGAGTCAATATTAAAATGTTTCGTGATACATGAACTGCAGTAACGTGGCATTTTAGATACTACGATTTTTATGCAGGGCTGGGCACCACCTCAAGAGTGTCGCACAGTTACTTAGGCAACATTTCACGAATGAACGTCTTATAGGCCAACACTTCCCCTCTTCCCACCAGACCTCAACCTCTGTGACTTTTGTCTATGAGGTTATCTCAAAAGCACTGTTTATGGTGATAATCTAAACAATTTGGCAGAAATGAAAAATGTGATACACTGATAACATTCCTCCTGATATGCTATGTGTAACGTGTATACGAGCCAGTTTCCCTTAAAAAGTCCTCCACGAAGGCATCCCTCCCTTAAGGCAGATAGCCCTCGAGTGCTTTGCCGTAATCTAATAAACCAAACCAAAACCAAACCTGATATGCTAAGAGCTGCTGTTGAGAATGCAGTAACATGATTTAACTTGCTTTCGGAAAATGCTGGACGCTACATTGAACATGCTTTGTAACACGTTTCGGAAAATATTAAACACATTTTAAACAGATGTTTTCGTGTCTTATTTCATTTAACAATATTGTATACAGCGCCATTTTTCCCCTGATGGTGAGTTTTTGAACTCTTTTTTTTTTTTCCGCCGAAAATAAATTCCCATAACCTCCTTTACACGATTCCCAAGTTTGATAACATTTGGTCCGGTAGTTTTCCTTTTATGACCATTTCAATTTGAAACTTTAATTATAACCACCATGTAAATTAAACTTTAAAAGTTTGACAGTTTGGTTCAAGTCCCAGCTTTAAAAATATATATATAAATATAAATCTTTATATTAATTCTCTTAGAAAGAATGTTTTAAGAAGCTAATTTTTCTCTCGCGTTATAGACTGTATAAAAAAAACATGATCTTTAGTATGATTTAGATTGTTTCAGCCGATATAAGAATCGGGTTACTCGGTGGTACAGAATAAACCCTGCTGGACTGTTTTATTTCTTTGTCATTTAGCAAAAATCTTTTAATTAAAATATTTATCCTTTGGACTTCGCTTTAAACTTTATTTATAGCTAAAATGACTAGAAAATGAAAAGCTGTCTTTAGCTGAAACGCAATTCATATAATTGATATTTTAAAAAATTGACAAGAATGCAAAATGTATGGAAGTCTAGCAGTCGAAAAATCTTAATTTTCTTGTGTGAGCACTGAAAATAACTGTAGAAGGAAAGAAGAAAATTAGGGAGAAAAGTAAGCAAAAATTTGCAGGGAAATTTGGCTGTCAGACATACCAAGATGTTCAAAAAGTTGGACGCTTTCGAATATACTTTCAGGATACTTCAAAGAATTTAGGTGTTCAAAGAGAAAACACTTGGACGTGTACACCAGCAAATACCATCAATTGAGCTTGTGTTAACAGAAAAGACAAAAACGATATCATTGCAGATTAAAGTGAAGAGCGACTGGTTTTAAACTATATGGTTGTGTAAATTACGTTATAGAACATCATATCGTATCATAAATGGTGAATCCCATGATTTTCTCAGTCGAATTATTTGAAGATTCAGGAGTTTATCCAGTGATGTATGTGGATGATGATATAAAATATTATATTTATGTATATATCACCTAAAGATGTTTTTTTCCTTCCTGATGAAACAGCGGCCGAGCGGTAAAGTCGCTGAACACTGGTAGTTCGGTCCGAGGTTCGAATCCCGCGAACGGGCTGGCTGCATGGGCGTTTTCGTGGTTTTCCCCATGTGTAACGTGTATGCGAGCCAGTTTCCCTTAGAAAGTCCTCCACGAAGGCATCCCTCCCTTAGGCAGATAGCCGTAGTGTGCTTTGTCATAATAAAATAAACCAAAACCTTTTGATGAAACCAGTCTTTCCTTTCATCTCATACCTTCAAAATGTTTAGCCTCTAAAGACTGATAAAGGCTCTGACGAAATACTTCGTGAAGAACTTTCTAAGGGAAACCAGCTGTCATACGCGGTACACATGAGAAAATCCACGAAAACGCCCATGCAACCAGCCCGTTTACCGGGGTTCGAACCCCGGAGTGAACTACCAGTGTTCAGCAACTTTACCGCTCGGCCGTTTGTGGGCCTTTATGAAATGGAAGGCGATAACTTTATTTAAAATGATTGTCAGAAATACCAAAATGTTTCGAAAAGTTGGATACTTTTCAATATACTTTCAGAATGCTTAAAGAAAAGAGAAGAAAAATAAATTTTTTTCGTAAAATTTAGTATTCGTATTTTTTTAATTTAAAACTTTTCAATCTTATGATATTTGATTCTTGCGATTTCAAAAATAAAATATTTGACTAAAATATGAATAACATTTTAAGAAACCAAATGTAGGATAAAATTGTGTAAAGCAATGGGCACAATGATAAAACTGTTTAAAGCAGTGTATGCAAGTCATCCTAAGTTAAAATATCGGTTATACATCTCTCTCTTATATATTTATATATCTATTTTTTTTTTCTGAACGGAACATTGAAAGGCGTGTAAAACTGTGCTTTACTGTATTTTCTCTTTTAATATAGTATGCAGTTTTCAAACGCATCGTAGTCTGGGTTACAAAGTATTCCTCCGAAAGAAACGGAGTTCAAATAAATAAAATCAAATTCTGGAAAATTGATATTAATAAATATATTTAAAATGCTCAGTTCGAAGGAATAAATAGAAAATTTTAAAACAATTATCTGAAGAGACAATGCAACACAAACCATTAAAATAAAAGTATAAAAATTTAAAAATTACCTAAAATAATAACTATGACGAAAATATATATAAAGAAAAACTATTTGAAAAAAAAAAAAAAAAAAAAAATAAATAAAATAAAATAAAATAAATAAACGCTGCACCTTTATTTACGCAGTTCGAATAGGTAAATAGAAATTTTTAAAACAGTTATTCGAAAAAAAAAAAAAAAAAAAAAGACATGCAACTTAAACAATTAAAATGAAATTCGAAAAAGAAAAAATTACTTAAAATAATAAGTTATAATTAAAAATATAATATAAAGAATATTATTTGGAAAAGGAACGATGGTGACTTTTTTTCCTTCACGGGAAAGGAAACTAGGTTGCCATATATTAAGAAGTTCGCCAAGTAAAGTATTCTTGGCGCAAGCTGACAAAAAAGTGCCAACATAAATTTGTGAATTTCTCCGTAAATTTCGCTCCAAATTTTACAAAATTGCATATTTAGGCGTAATTTGAGTCGTAGAATCGAAATATGTAAAAAAATTGGTATGTTATTTCAGAAAACGTCCGATTTTGTGTCAAAATACCTATGTTAGAATAGTGCTATATATAAGTCTAATATATATCCTAAGTCGCGCTTTCGAGATATGAAGAACGCAATTTGAATTTCGTCAATCGGCCCAGTAGATCGGGAGATATAAGACTGTCCCATTTTTTTTTTTAGCAGTGTACATAATATTTTAACCAAAGTAACATTAACTATTACCGTTCCCAAAAAATTCATGTATATTTCAGAAAAACAGTAATTGACAAAATCATAAATCCATACACGGTGTGAGAGCATATCAGCAAAAATAAATTATACAGTTTATTTTTCTTAAATAGTAGTTAAAAATAAAATTAATTTATTAATTTAACCGTTGTAATTTATTATAGTACAAGTTTAACAAATTCCGTAACACTGGGGGATAAAGGCATTAAATGTTCGATTTAGAGTGGCAACCATTCACAGTTGAATTTTATAGTAAATCTGGCAATAATTTATTTGATGTAGCGTGGCCGCTAATTTGGATTCTAACCAGCGTATGCAACGATGAAAGTCAAAGGCCAGGTAAATAAAATATTGAACATTTTACATGTTATAAATTATTACAGCACGTATATTTTATCATGCTGTACTTATACTTTACTTAGTTTGTTACATTTTGTTTTTTCTAATGTAACACTTGTTAAGCCTACCGCGTGTAGTATAGCGAAAGAGTTGCTAAACTTGAATTATGTTGCCTTTCTATGGTATATGTTTTACTAAAAAGTAGAATTAAATTTATAGGTAAAAGATTATTCCAAGTACATTTTATCATAGACCACATACATGCAAAGAAAAAAAACTTTTCTGGCAAATTTGTACTCAAGTACCATATTTAAACGACGTAAAATTTTAAACTATTGTGCCATGGGCATAGCTAGAGGGCTGTCCCCGGGCGCAGAATCCAAGGGGCGCCAAACTGATGTTACGACATTTTAGAATTAAATGTTTTTCATCCTTGGCTAAGCAGTAGGGGGCGCGAAATCTTCAGTTGTCCCTGGGCGCTGAAAACCCTGGCTACGACTCTGTATTGTGCACGGAAGTTTTTCGGTATTAAGTATTCTATGTTAAATCATAATACGTATTATTATGTTTACACTTCTGTTACCTTGAGTATCTTTTTTAACCCTTTCACAACCGGTTTTTTCTTTTAAAAAAAAAGATAAATTAGGGGTTTATTAGGTAAAATAAAGTAGAAATAGCAATATTCTGCCCAATTATAAGCAAAAATTTACTGTAAGGGCCATTTTGGAGGTGGGACATATGTGTCCCATTGGTCTTTTTAGTTGGGACACACGTGTCCCATTGGGGTTTGAAGTGACAATATAAAACATAGTGAAAAGTTCAGTTTTCTAGTTCTAAATGAATTTCACAATACTTTTGAAACAGTTTTATCAGAAAACACCTACCTACGCAAACATTATTTATGAAATTTGGTATGGTACATTGCAAAACAGTTTTTACATAGTGCAATTTTACACATGGCGCAAACCAGTTTTTTTGTTCGGTTTCTTTATTTTTTTGGCACAGCGGGCACATCTTCTTGTTGGCCCTTCTAATGGCAAATGATCTCCAACATTCAACATCAGTTTTGTTGCATTTGATGGTCGACCTGATTTCTTCCTCTTGACAATTGCATTTTCTTTGCCATGAGCAATCATTAATTCGGCTAGGGGGACAATGTATTGCAAGAGAGGTATTTTCCTATGTTTGGTTTCTTGAAACAATATGTGTGCATTCACAACAGCTGTCATCAAAAGTTTATAAAATACTTTTTTCCACCATTTTGTAGATCTTCTGTCAAAATCATATAGGCATATCTTTTGATCAGACAAATCTACTCCTCCCATAAATCTGTTATAGTCGGCAATAGCGGTAGGACAATTTGTCATTACTTTTTCTCCATCTTTCTGCTTGCGTTTTACTTGTATGACATCAGGTCCATGGCAATTACTCAGAATCAGAACTTCCTTTGAATCTTGCCATCTTGCTGCAAGAGTTCCTCTTCTATTCTGGAGAAATTCTGAATCACCTTTTTGAAGTTTTTCGTCAGAGAATTTTGGCATGTCCTTTCTACGAGAAATACAAGTACCAACAGAAGGAAAGAATATGTTATCCAATAAGTTTACACTTGTAAAAAATCTATCAAATGTAAGTGTAACATCTGGGTTACGTATTGTTGAGGAAAGTTTTTAGAACAACTCTTTCTCCAAGTATTGTACCCTCATGATCTGTATTATCCATGTCTTTGCCAGAATATATATTGAAGTCATAGGTGTAGCCCGTAGCAGCATCACATCTCTCCCACACTTTGATTACCCGTTTTATTGGCTTTAGGGGTAAATAACTGCTTTAGGCTAGAACAAACAACCTTTGAATTTAGCCATGGATTCATCGATGCTTGAAAGGGACTATCTTCGCGAGCTTGCATAAATGTCCTTTTGAAACATGCCACCACTTCATCCATATAATATGTCTTTGGAGCATTCGCATCTTTTTCTGGATCATTGAAGTACATTTTTGCAAAGAGCAATAGGCATCTGTTACGGGAAATCGCATTTTTTGATAGCTTCGTTTCCCAATGAAGAATTGCTGGACCAATAATCTGAAAAAGTTCGGTACTTGATTATACGACATGACAAGCATGACTCCCAACACAAGCATAATTTCTGAAGGGTCTGTGTCAGGAATATCTACTTTTTTTTTCATGTCTCAGTATTTCAAGGCGCTGGTTGGTACATTGAGAAATAAAAATAAGAAGACTTCGTGGAAATACACATGAGAAACATTCTAATTCATTAGAGGATCTGTGATTTTGGCCAGTATTGCAGTTTGGACGGTCTTTAGATACATGGAGCCGTGGCTCAAAATTTGGACCAACATTTGACAAATGACAGGATCAGTAGGTTTTGAAATAGTTTTTTTTTTTTTTTTTTTTATGCCTTGCCACTTATATTTTGATACCTGCTCCGCTTCATCGGGTGAGAAATCATCAGAGTCCGAGTCAACGGAGGGTTCTGATGAATGCTCAAGACATGACAGCTTTCGTTTCGGTGCCCTTGATGTTCCTGAATTTTCTCTCAATTCTTCACAGCTATCACTGTCTGAGGAACTAGGGACATATTCCTTGTCTATATCTGAATCGTCCAATTCATCACTTGAATCCGGTTCATTCAATAATTTAATTATTTCTTCCTTTGTCAATCCCTTCCTGCGATTCATGATATTGCTATGCCTAAAAATACAGAAATGACCACTTTGAGAATGAGGCATAGATATATTTCAATAACCACTGGGACAATAATGTCCCAATAAAACAGACCATTGGGACATATATGTCCCATAATATTATTTTTTTTTCAAAATCTACAATGAAAATTCACTTACTTCAAATAAACTGCTTGATATGGCAAAAATAGACGAAAATCACATACAACGAAAACAGCACGTGTGTCCACTCATGTATCTTCGCCTAAAATGGCTGCCAGAATGTCCAAACTTTCTCGCTTGTCAAAACTGTATGATAAAACAAAGCTCACAGGGCACTAGTGTCATCTATCGAGAAAAAATTACACTAAAAGGTAGATGTAATCACAGGAAACCAGTGGGACACTCGCGGCAATAAATTTTACGCTTGTTTTTCCCATTGGGTGATTTGGAAACATTTGCGGGACATATATGTCCCAGTGGGGCCGAAAGGGTTAAGAATACTTATTTTAATGCAGTAGTAAAGTGATGCATAATGATTGCAAGATTGGGGAATCAACTTTTTATACTGATTTAGTGAAAAGGAATGATGAAAGTCTTAACTTGGCAGCAGTAAACTACTATTCATGTATGTAATTTGCACGTAAACAGCTACTTGGATTTTTGTTGTGAAGTGGAGTTACAAAATGTGCCTAAATTAAAATTGACTGTTGATCTATTACAAAATATGAGTAGGTATAAAGCAGTTTCTTCATAATCTTGTGTCTCATTTTCACATTGACATGTGAAAATTTCAATCTTTTGTTATGCAAGGATAATCAGCATTTACAGAATACTGGTAGTGAGCCTAGGTTTTATATCTTATGGTTGAGCTGCATTTTCTGAAATTAAATATCCCGATCAATTTTTGTAGTGTGAAAGTCAAACTTGTATCTTTATTTTTTCATAATGGATGTAAAATTTTCCTAAACATAAGTATAGGAACTGGAAGACTGCATTAACCGTTAAAAGATTACATCAAAAAAGCAGCGAATTCCTTTATTATGCGTTGCTAAATTTGGCTACATATCAACATTTTGATATCAAAATGTGTTTGTATACAAATTTTCTTTCTCTGAGATTAAGTTTGGGATGTTCTTTTAAAAACATAATAACTTTGATAAATATAAAAATAATATACAGTCAAAAGTCGTTAATCCGGATTCGGCGGGTTAATAAAGAACAATTATGATCTAAAGGGTATCAAAATTTACAAAAAAAAAAAAACTTAATATTTATTTGTTTACTTTATTAAACATTTCTTTCAATGTAAGTTGTTTAAGTTGCTTTGTTTTATGTGATAATACTTTCTCTTTAATTCTATAAACAGACATAATTTCTTGTTCAGTAACAAAGTTCCGCTGTTCAAGTCCCGTTAATTGCTGTGCCGAGAATACTGACTAACTTGTCAATCGAAATTTTTTCGTTTTCACTAACCTCTCTGTCACCTTCTTCATGTCTTTATCCATTTTTTGCAGCAATTCCACTTTTTGCTTGATGGACATTGAAACATACTTTCGTTTTGTACGATCCTTTGGGAGCTCCAGATTCGGAAATTCTATTTGACATAATCGAAAGTTCAAGTTTACATTTATAGTATTGCTCTTACAGTCTGCAAAAAATAATAAGCTGGATCCAACTCGAAAATTAAGGAACAACGTAATCACCAACATTAACTGAATTAGATAATTTTAGCTTACACCATCCGTTATACATAAAACGCGCACGTGAAAGCGTATTCTGCGCTTGCGCAAGCGCAAATGCGCAGTCGTAAGAGGTCTTACGCGCACGTGTAAACGCCTATGTGCATGTGTCAACGTGGTGCATGCGCAGAAAGTTTTTAGCTTTGAGGTCCGAATTAACGACTTTTGACTGTATTGGTTAATAACTCAAAGGGACATTAGCCCAGAAGGGCTATTGGACTCAAAACGGCATTTTGCGACGAATCACTACCTTTGGGCTGTATTACTTTTCAGATTGTAGCCACCAAATATTATCCCCCAATATGTTTCTTGCATTGTGAAACAACAACGGTACTTAAGAGCCACCAAATTTTAAATTCCTCCACCCGAACATTAAGCACCCGGGAGCCCAAATTTGGAATTTGTTTTAATGTCTATTTCATATTTTGTAAAACTTTAATGAATTTTTGATTAAAAACTCTACAATTTCAAATTAAGCAGTGGCGACACTGTAGGGAATTAAAATATCTTTATTTTCAGTGCGTGACGTGAGACTGCATATCGGAAATTTTAGACATACACTTTTTTTTAAATATGTTTTTCCCAAATGTTCTCGAAAAGCGAATGTGTCTGTAAATATAAATGGAATGTCACCATCCGCCCACGCATTTTCAGCTGTTAAGCCTACTTTTGCAGAAAATTCATGTAACATCAGCATTTTAATATTATGACCTCAGTTTTTAAAGTTATGTACGTAATATACTAATTCTTAATATGTATTAATAAAGAATGTTTATTGCTTAAATACTAATGAAAAGTCAAAATACTAAAATTATAACTACACATGAAAACAAAATTACAAATACGAAATCTAAAAGAAAGTTAAGCAGTAATTGTCTGTAGGTAATTAAATTCCAATGTAATAATTTTGTGTGTGAAAATTCAACACGAGGATTGACACATAGGAGAATGACCTTTTTTTCACGAGCAAGTCTTTCTCCTTCTGTAATAATACTGTAAAGTTACATTTTAATTAACCAAGATCTATGTTCAGTTTTAAAATAAATATAAAAATCAACAACTGGTCTTTTTCCATCATGGAAGTTCGGTGACAATACACCAGCTATCTTCAGCTAGATGCATTTTTCCACTTTTCCTAACAAAAAATAAACGAAAACATTAATTTGGATGCACTTCCCTATATTCTAAGAATGAAAACGCAAAGACTAAAAATGAAATTCCTAACGAAATAAACACGCCAGTGTCCTTTTAACTTAGAGCTGCGATGCTCAATTTGCTTATGCCAATAAATCTATCAAAACCAGAAGCATAAAACAGAAACTGGTGTTTATAAATGAAGGACAAAAGCCACATGATTTAACTGGTGTGGAAATTGTTTCCATTTAGTGCCATATACTGACATTTAAAATTTTTTTTGTTTTCAAGTTACGCATACACAACGCTAGTCTGAAGAGATTGATCCAAGCGCCTACACAGTGTTTATCCTGAATAGGTTAACAGCATCCAAGAACTATAATAGGATACAATAACGTGCCAAACAAGTATTAATTTAGAAGTCAAACAACAAAAATCAGCGTTATGTTTTCAAATTTTTGCAATCATCCTCAGCTGCAAAAGCTCAAATGAACAAGATAAGATACATTTTATCACCTCAGCACAGCCAACAGGCACTATGCAGATAGACTGGAATTTTCTTAAAACACTCCTGGAAAAGTCGGGGAATTTTATTCTCCTGTTTGAATGGCAACCTTGCCAGGTGTAAAGATAAAAGGTTCTTAAAAGCTTATTACATCAAAAATTATAACACATTTAAAAACTGTTGATACTGCTTGGTTTTGGTGGCTCCCTAGATTGAGTCACCAATCAATTAAGATATTTTGCCAAAATCTGGCTGTGTATAGTTATACCTTGTGATGTAATCGTAAATTAGCACTGACTGTGTGTTCTCATACCTTGGCAAGTAATTGTGTATTAGCATCATGTTGCATTTTTGCTCTTGCCACCTGTCCGTATACTATTCATTTTTGATTAGGCTTTCGAATTCGCATCGTTTATTTAAAAACATATTCATTGCGTTTTTTGTGTGAATATGACAGTAAAAATATTTAATTTAACCAAGTGATGTGGTGGATTTTTTCAAGGAAGTTCTTTTACCTAACTAATGAGTGCAAGAATGGCCACAATATGAAACTTATTATAAACAATATGAATATTATGTTAACGGTGAAACCATTTGGAGATGCACTGTTAAAAACTGCAAAAGGAAGAGCCACCATGTTTAAAATTGGTTTGATGGTTCCAGAATATTGTTTGTCATTGCTATTAGATTTATGCATTCTTGGTTAGAGGAATTAACATCCATGAAATGGTGTAATAAATAGTTTAATATATGTGAAAGTGCTGCAGTTGACTGGAATAGTTCAATAAAATAATAAGCATAAATATTCTTTGGAAACAACATAGGAGTATTATTTTTACTATATATTGTGTTTATTTTTACATTTGCTGTTCATGAGCTTGGCAGAATTATGGCCGAGATCTTGGTACAAATCTAAAATTGCCAAATATGGTTGGGGACTGCTAACAAAAGAAGTGCAGATTTTTCTTCAAAGTAAAATGTATTATTCCTAGTGTGGTACTTATTATTCCTAGTGTAAAATGGGAGTTTTCTTCTGCTGTTACAAGTTATAAAAGATTTTTACTTGGACCTTAACTACAGCTATTCGTTAAAATCAATAACTTACTGCTTGAGCAGTGTACTTGGAAAATATCGTTTCATGGAGGCTTAAAGGAATTTGTTTTGAATTTTGACAAGAGTAATAAATACAAACGTATTTACTACAATCAGCTAATGGTAACTTTATGTATCTTAAGAATTAGTTTTTTTTTTTAAAAACTAATAAAGCTTTCTTATCAAATATATTATAAAAGAATACCATGATAATTTTCTTTGTTTTTTATGCATTCTGGGATGTAGCAAGAAAAAGAGGTAAATTTCTTATATTATTTATTAGATTTATATATTTTATTTATATTAGATTGTTATATTCATATGTATTTTTTCCCCATCACAGCTCAAAGAATTTAAAATCATTGGGCGCCCATTGCCCACTGAAAAGGAAAGAAATCCTCCCCTCTATAGAATGAGGATATTTGCTCCGGATAAGGTGACAGCAAAATCTAGATTTTGGTACTTCACCAGGAAGCTAAAGAAACTGAAGAAGTCTAATGGGGAAATTGTTTGTATTTCTGAGGTATGATTTAAGTGATTTTCTAGCATTTGATTATATGAAATTATCGGTACTTTTCCGTTTTGCCGGCGCAAACGATAAAGTCGCCAACAATAGTACAACTAATGCCAAACGGAATATCTTCGCTGGTAACCTTTTACGCCTCATTTCCGAAACAAGTCGTAGCTATTTCTTATCAGATTGATTGTTTCTTTCAATACTGGCATACAATAACATAGAATTTTTACAAGATAGTTAAATTTTATGCCCTAAGACCATTTGCGGTAATTAAGTCAATTAGAGTGCAATCACACCGCTCGCCCGAAAATAAAGAAAAGGCAAAATCAAAGGTTAAATTCGGCAATTCTAATGAGAATGCACTAGCGAAGTAAAGCACTACGATTTTACATAATTTTTGAGTAAGCTATTCATACAAATTGAAATAATTCTTGCATTTAAACTTGTATTACAAATTAAGATTTAACTATTAATGTAGATAATTACTGAATTAGATTTTTGTATGATGGTTTATTAATTGGGGTCACGTGATATAAATCGGCGAATCAGGATAATGAACCATGAAAGCATATTAAATTCTTAAATTAATGCTTTTTACAAATTTATTGACTTTTTACAAAAACTAAACTTCTTAAAACTAATGTTTATTAACATTTTTTATGTGCATACTGTATGTTGTCGCCAACAAAATCTGCTTGGGGAGATTTGCGTCCGCAAAACGGAAAAGTACCAAATTATCTTTTAAACTTAAATATTAAAATTTAAGGTTTGTAAAAAAAATTTTAACAAATGACTTGTAATTTCGGATAGAACGTCTCAATTAGATTAGCCAAATGCTAATATTATACTGCTGGCCATTTAAATTGTAACACCATGAAGGAAAGCAAATATATATATATATATATATATATATATATATATATATATATATATATATATTGTACGTCAATAGTATAGCAGGAAGACAAAATGATTAAATCTGTAAACAGTTTTGTATACACAGGTGCAAAATCAGTAGAAACAGCTACCATTTGTGTTAGCTAAAGCAACCCTTACCTTGTCGGGCATGGAGTTGAACTAGATTTCTGCCATTTAAGGTGAGTTCAACTCTGCCTAACCAGATAAGGAGTTGAACTGGACTTCGATGACAGAAATGGTCAACTCATTCCATGCTGTTTAAAGTATATGCCACACTTCATCAATTGCACTGGCTGGAGATAGATGGCGAGCCAGTCTCTCAGCAACCCATGACCAGATGTTTTGAAAGGGTGAGAGATCTGGAGACAGCAGGGTTTGTACAATCCTTAAAAGTCCTTAGATTTTTTGGAATAAATTTTTGGTCCTTAAAAGTCCTTAATTTTTCCCGAAAGCAGCAGAAAGTCCTTAATTTTAATCATCTGAAATTTCTGTTTTTATGACTCCCATTTTGAGTGTGAATTAGCATTTTGGAGGAACGTTTTTGGCGATTCGCTGACATATGTGGTTATCTTTTGAATGGGTTCATGGGTTATAAGTTTGTTTCTATTTCTAATATAAATCAATGATGGGATACTCGAATTTCTAAGCAAGAAGTGAAACATAAGCATTTCAAAATGCATTTTTTCTAATAAAGAGCTTTTAAACAACTTTTCACTTTTGGGGATGTGAATTCTTTTATTAAACGGGTTCTAAATTTGGCGATTTTAAGATCAGTTCCTATAGAAAAATTTTAATTTCGAGATCCGAGATTTTTCGATGATTTTTTTTTTAAATTTCGTAACGTTGGTAAACTTCATTAAAATAATGCTAATATATTGAAATGATATTTAAAAAAATAATATTAAAATAAAACATTTTTATTTTTAACTGTCATATTATAAAGTTTCATTTTGGCAACTTATTTTAAATCTAAAAAAATAAACAAGGTATGCTATAAAGCACAATTTACGAAACAGCTCTTGGCAAAAGCAAAATTAGCTATGTAATTAATTAAAAATGTATTCTTTTTAATTTTTTCTTAGTAAGACTTTCTCATATCATTCTCTCAGAATATGCATCTGTTTTCTCTTTAAATTTAATTTTACACTTTTTCCCTACTTTTTTTTTTTTTTTTTCCAAAATATTTCTCCTTTTCTGCTGTTACAGACTTGGTAGGGAAATTTTTCTTTACTTCTGATACTAGAATCTTTTTCTTAACATGTTTATCATCCCTTTATTTTCTGTACTTCTCACTAGACACAAGTATGGAAAATATCAAAAATGCTTCTAATCTTATCACATGGCCAGACATTATAGAAAGGGATTTTCTTATTAATAAAGAAATTGAAAACTTACAATTTAAAAGATTCATCTAATATGTCTTAATGCATCATACACAGAGCTGGCACTAGGTATTTTCCCACCTGATGCAATCTCTGTGAATCCTAAATTCTGCTTCCAATGCCTGCTCTAAATTCTAAGTTTTGCCATTTCTAGATTTTGTTGTTACTAAATTCTGCCTTACCAGCTCTGTAACCAGCCTTTACCATATATACACTGGTGAAAGAAATAAAGAGAATTTTCATATTTGATCTACGATGTCCAGAACTACTGGACAGATTTTAATAAAATTTGGTGTGAACATAGGTTGTTATAATACAAACAAAATAAACATTCAACAGTTATAATAGACAGACATGTTCGTGTACAACACTCATGGGAGTCTGAATGGTCTGAAACAGAGGGTTGCAGAAGACACAAAGAAATGGGTTAATAGAGGGTTATGGTTCCCTCTTGCATTGCCTATACAGGCCTCGCAGCATGATGTTATACTGGAAATAAGGCAGTTTATCAGTGCCTGACAGCGTTGGCTGAATGGACCCACTCATTCAGCAATGCTGTTTTCAGTTCCTGAATGGTTTCTCGAAGGGGGGGTTTGCGAGTTGTAAGTTGCTCTCCCTCAGAGCGTCCCAGGCATACTCTATAGTGTTGAGGTCTCGAGACCTGGCTGCCCAATCCATCTGACGAATATCCTCACTCTCGAGAAATTCATCAAACAGAAGAGCTCTATGTGGCCTCGTGTTATCGTTATGTAAGATGGAACTCAGGGCCCACTTCACCCTGAAAAAGGCGAACATAGGGATCGAAAACCTCATCCCTGTACCTCACACCAGTTACAGAGCCTTTGTCAAAGACGTGGAGAGGTGTGTTTCCATCCAACATGATGCCTGCCGAGACCATTACACGGCCACCGCCATAATTTTTTATTTCGCGGACATTGGAGGGTAGGTAGTAGGTCCCAGGCTCTCTCCTAATGAAAATATGTCGAGAATGGGGTTTAGGCTAAAACGGGACTTGAGTGAATAAAATGGTCACCCATTGCTCCATACTCCAATCACTATGCTGCCTGCACCATGCTAATCTGACTTTCCTGTCCATAGACGTGAGTGAAACGCAAACAACTGGTCTTCTGGCAAACAACCCTCTCATTTAGTCTTTTGGAAATAGTCACCCTTGTTACATGGGTTCCTGTGGCTGCATACAGGTCCCAAAAGAGCTGAGATGTAGCTCCTCTGTTACGCCTCGCTAAAATGGACAAATAGCAATCTTTTCTGGCCGTCGTGGCTCTTGGATGACCTTGTCCGGGCTTTCTCTTGATGGATCCAGTATCCTGAAACTGTTTCCATAAGTTACATGCAACGCAGGGCGTTAAATTAAACTCTTTGTATATCTGGACTTGCGAATGGCTTGCTTCTAGCCACCTCACAATTCATCACCTCATTCCATCATTTAAACGTTGGTGGTTACTCATTTTTACTGTTCTGATGTTAATTTAACCAATTGCTACAAGATAACACCAAGAAATTCGCCTAGATGTGCTAGTGAACGCAATTTGTCTTACCCTCCACGCGCTTATAAAGCCTGATTTTCTGCTGGCTTCGCCTCCACAGACGTGCAAGCTTACGTATTTGCCGTACAAGATACACATTTTTATCCAGAAGCAGTAGTTTTATCTTCAGTTCAGTTCTTTTTATGCAATTCAATAAAATATGCAAATTCTCTAAATTTATTTCACCAGTGTATTTCATATTTCTTCTGAATGTTCGTATTACTAAAGAAACAAAATTAGCCACTTTTTCTATACATTCTAAATGCATTTAGTGTGTTTTAGAATAACAAAAATCCTTAATTAAATCCAATTTTCGTTGCTGAAAATTAAGATAAGGCTTTTTTCGTGGAATTCTACCTCTTAGTCCAACAACTGTTAATCTTCTGTTCTTGAACTGACAGAAACACTAGCATCGTTCAGATCACTTCTGATGGCCGCTGATGACATTTTTATATCTTGCAGACATAGCCTTTTTATTCTTTTGTCATCAATAGATGTGCACCTCTTTCGGCCTCCTTCTTTGTTTTTTATTGAATTTGTCTCCTGATATCGTAAACAAAACTTTCGGACTCCAGATGTAATCACTGAACCACCCACCTGTCTTGCAATTTCAGCATAGGAAAGACCACTTTCTCATAACACAATAATATTACATCTCTTTCTAGGCGGTCCAATCTACTCTTTTATTTGATTTCATTGCTTCTTGACTAAATATTAAAAATTTTTACAAAAATTCCTACTTGTAATTGCAGTGTATAAGAAACAGAAAACAGAACAAAGCAAAATAATGAATTGTTTCAAGTGTAAACATGTCAGCTTCTACTGGCAGTTACTAACATTTGATTGGTTCTCAGAACAAGAACAGTTATTGGCCAGGAAAGCTAGACATTACAAACCACTTCATTAACTGTGTTTTTTATTTATATTAAAGTACATATAACTTTTTTGCATTGCAAATAATTGAATTTTGTGTTTTGTATTGAATTCAGTAATAAATTCTCTTTAAAATGATATATACAAGTTTGCATTTTGCAAAACGTAACATTTTCTATAAGCATACAAAATTCAAAAACATAAAAATTTCCAAAAGTGTCTACAATTTTGGCCACCACTGTACATTAAATTTAAACCACATCAAATAATTTATAAAATCACAATA